GACCGGACTCCTAAGTGCATCAGCGGTGAGCGCCCTCTACAGAGTAAATGTATAAGCTCTGAGCGCCCTCTATAATGGGGCTAAGCGCCTCAAAAATAAGCGCCCTCTACAGAGTAAATGTATAGGCTCTGAGCGCCCTCTATAACGGGGCTAAGCGCCTCAGCAATAATCGCCCTCTACAGAGTAAATGTATAAGCTCTGAGCGCCCTCTATAACGGGGCTAAGCGCCTCAGCAATAAGCGCCCTCTGCAGAGTAAATGCATAAGCTCTGAGCGCCCTCTATAACGGGGCTAAGTGCCTCAGAAATAAGCGCCCTCTGCAGAGTAAATGTATAAGTTCTGAGCGCCCTCTATAACGGGGCTAAGCGCCTCAGCAATAAGCGCCCTCTGCAGAGTAAATGTATAAGCTCTAGCCGCTCTTCATAGCGAGACTATCTGTGATCAGCGGTGCGACTTTAGTCTGCGATCAGTAGGTTTACGATAAATACAAGTCTCGACATAATGGGGAAGGAGGGAGGGGACAGCGAGTGCTTACGCGCTGGAGACCGCATATAGAGCATGGTCAGTCACATGGAGAGCATTCTTTATTCCGCCGGGAGTGTTCCCGGCAAGCGTGTATCGTGTTAAGACGGCCTATGATTACGCAACGTGTACGTACGTGTAGCGTTATCACATGTCATCATGCGACGTTATAGCGATGTGAATTACTTTCGTGAATTGCAGTGACGTCAGAACCGTACATCGACTGTCCCGATGACGTGTATGTTAACCTCGAAGTCAACAGGTCGACGATCGTCGTGAAGAATCTTCCTAAGCCCGTCACCAATCTGGACGATATTGAGGTTCGTGTTAGATGTTTAACTGCGGCGCGTCGCAAACACGAATTGCCACAAAAATTACTACCAGTGACAAGGTGTAGGACAGGTTAAACACTTAGACACGTGTCGCTCTAGGTAGAAGAATACACGGAAGTTCACAAACAACAGTGAATTATCTCCGTTCGGCAACACTCACTCACAGCCACATATCTGTTACGCTTTCTCTCGCCAGCGCATTTCCCTATAGAAAAACTGAACGTTAATAAAAGACGGGCTGCTGCTAACGCCTTGAGTTACCTGCTAAGTTTTTAATTGGGGATAGATTTTGATACAAACAATTAGAGGTGACTGTGATACGGGCAGCGCCGGATAACGCAGCTAATGTCGTGTCGGCCAAGCAGACGACCAGTAATGCTGCGGGGCATAGACGAGATGGATGCTTTCCAAACTCCAACTATGTTTACACTGAGACAAAGTGCATAACCTTGGTACTGTGTGTGCGTGTGTGTGTGTGTTTTTTTGCACAATACTCGTCGTAACAATGTGACAGCGTTCATCATGTGTTTTTTCTGTGACAGTCGTCGCCCGCATTTGAAAATGTTTGTAATATGTTTTTTCCGTGACAGGTGTCGCCGGTCTGTGACAGCGTTTAGCACGTGTTTTTCTGTAGCAGGCGTTCACACAGGCCCGTGAGCAGTGTTTAGCATTGTCTTTTCTTGTAGGCAGACGTTTACAGCCGGTGACAGGCGTTAGCACGTGTGTGTTTGCGTAGCAGACATTGCTCGCAGCCTGTGACAACGTTTACCACGTGTTTTTCTGTAAGCAGCGCGTTCACACACGCATGTGACACGTTAACCACGTGTTTTTTCGTAGCAGGCGTTCACAAGCCTGGTGACACACGTTTACCACTGTGTTTTTCAACCGCGTAGAGGCTGCTCGCCCTGCGTACGTAACAGTGTTTAAACATATTCTTGTTGCTGTGTGACTCCGACGATCCGTGTGATCGGTTTCGCATGTGTTTTCTTAGCGCTGATACGCTCACTGGTCTCTGAAAGCGTTTTAGCACGTGTTTTCGTTGCTTAATTGCCGGCAGCATGCGACAGCGTTAGCATGTGTTTTTCGTAAGGCAGCACATGCCGCAGTCCTGTGACATCGCGTTTAGGCACGGTGTTTTCGAGCAGACATTGCCGCAGCATGTGAAGCGTTTATCACGTTTTGCGCAGCCCAAAGCAACTTTGCCGAGCCTAGTGACAGCGTTTAGCCCCTGTTCTTCAATAGCAGACATTGCCGCAGCCTGGACAGTGTTTAGCTACGTGTTTTTCGTAGCAGACGATTGCATGTCAGCCTGTGGACATCGTTTTAGACAACGTGTTTTTTCGTAGGCAGATCATTGCCGTCCAGTCCTGTGACATCGTTTAGAAACGTGCTTTTTCGTAAGGCAGACATTGCTGGACAGCGCTGTACAGCGTTTAGCACGTGTTTCCCCCTGACAGGCGTCTCCGGCCGTGGGTGCTTGCGCCAGCGCTGTCTATCCCGGGGACGTACTGAGATCGAGTGTCGGCGTAGCAAGCAGCTGACAGACTATAAGTCGTGACGAGTGACGATGCAAGTACACGTGCTGGTAAGTGAGCAAATCTCCTGCCCCGCTACCATCCCCACAGACGATCCACACAGCTGCGCCTCACTACAAACGCAAGCAATAATGTGAATAATCTCGTATATTGTGAATTATGTGATTATATAATTGTACTTTGATTATCAATGGTAATTTTATTAATGATTATATAAAAATATGTTAATTAAATACATGTTACTAATCATTTGTGCACAGCCACTGTAGCTCATCTAGCAGGCAGGCAATCACGCGTCCGCGCGGATACATCGTGCTAATCGAGTCAAGCTCACGCGCAATTATACGGTTACATACATGTCGACTTTTTGAACAGTTCGCGTGTTACTCGGCATTGTTTTACGTAGACTATAATGCAAGCAGTGTGCGATGTCTGGTTAATGGTTTAACGAGGGAAGCATGTCGAAAATAAATTATATAATAATTCTCGGATATTCCAGATATTGAACCATTGAAGCACTGCGCAAGTGAATACAAAATCAATCGAATCAATCACTGACGTCGTATAATCTGCTGCATCACAACGATAATTACCAATGTTTCTTGTAAGCGTAGCCCCGTGATTGACAGACTCTATTGAATTTGATCGTTGTGGCGGTAATTCACTGATGATTCTTCTATTGTGTGATCGAAAAAAGTCTATAATAGAGCAAGTTTTAAACTACCATACGTTTTGTTAGCGACACAACTAGCTTTCGCATCCTGTGTCCAGATGCTCGCCTCTATTGAGGTGTGACGAGCGAGGAGTGCAGGGTCCCAAAATTACCCGCCCCGCCGTCTCTTGGCAGCAGCCGGAGTTTACTGACAATGTTCACGTGCAGTACCGTCTCGAAACTCACGCTAGGAAGCACCCGAAACGTCAGCAAGCGCGAAGCGCGGCACGACCAACAGCACACACAAATCAAAGACGCTCCCCCCCTACCCACATTAATTATACATATACATGCAGGAGCTAAATAATACAATCACTATTGCACAAATAATGAACAAATAATATACTGACAAAATACATGACATAATGGACAAATTAATTGACAACAATTGTGTCATATTAGTGCTTCTTTATAACATATAACAATACTGACATAATATATATATAATATATATATAAATATATATATATATATATATATATATATACCCGTGCACAATATTGTATATGTAATCACGGTGGTCGTTTTTACATCCGTATGTGTTCAAACTGGAATAAATACGATGCGCACTCGCTCGCATAATTGATTTGTATTCGTATGTGTGTTATACATTTATTCTCCAAGAAAGCAAAACTTCAAGCATCTTCACTGCGTCGACAATTCTACGATTTTCCAGCGCTACCCGTGATGATACATTTGTTGTTGATGCAGCGAGCTACCTCCGGCATTGTGTACCTTAATAACAGTAATCGAGAAAATTTAATATCGGAGAACATTTCGCCGCGATGTTTGCAGAACATTGTCGCGTTTTGCCGATTTACCTGTTTTTACTCGAGCGCCTCTAGCACGCTTGCTCTTGACGTCAAGTAGCTTTGCACAACTCGCGCTGCAAGGTCTGCTACAAGTCTCTGCCCGAGTTTGTGGTCGGCTGAGTTAATTTTCTTGATGTTCCGAGCGTTTTACGTTAACAGGCGAGATGTTGTCTAATGCTCTATATGTTGCGTGTGTTTCAGGAGCCGGGAGAGAGGTTCGAACGCGGTGATTTTGTCGTCAAATATGTAGCGACCGACTCATCAGGAAACGAGGCGACGTGCGAGTTCGGTGTCAGTATAAAATGTACGTAAACACCAATGTCGTGAGTAAAATATAATATGTGAGCAACTATTTTTTATTCTTTTGTCGGTTCCATTACCAATGCCATAAGGCCTCCGCAACTGTAATGATTTGGTCTCGTTAACAAGTTTTGTCCAGCATGGCTACTCGCTGTTATGCGCTGTTAGGGTGGGGATGTTGGTCTTAAGCCTACGAAACCCCAATTTTTACTGCAAGTGTCGACTCAAGTAAATCTATATACTATATACTATATATTATAATATAGGATACGGCGCTTTTCTCAATGGATAAACACGAGTGTAGGGAGTGAGGTATGCGTAAATAATATTATGCAAGGACTAAAATGTACGTAGAGCCTATTTAGGGAATATTATGAGCGCAAACACCAATCTGTGGAGAGAAATGTACGTAAACACCGATGCAGTTGACATGCAAAACATATAACATATAGGTAAAAACCCAATATAATGTAATGGAAGATGTGCGTAAACAACAATTTAGTGAGAAAGTGCGCCTAAACAAAAACGTATACGGAGTAAAATGTGCTCAAACAACAATTTATAAGTAGTAAAATTGGCGTAAACTGCGGCCGAGCGCAATATGCGCATGCAGCAACATGAAGAGTGAGATAGTGAGCCTAAGCAACAACGCAATATGTAATTTTAAAGGAACGTTAACGTATCGTGTCGCGTAGTTTCCATCGATTTCCCAGCACGGCATCATCGTCGCCTGTACATCTACAGCATCAAACAGCACAGCTCTTTTCCTTGTACGTAGATTATATACGAGTTCTGCGGGCATTGCCACCTACGGCGAATGTTTTCTCTCGAATGTATACGTTAGCGTATGCCTGCTCAAACACATGCAGCAATCAGATTGTCGTGTCCAGTAGCGCCAGGTTACATTACCAGCGGATATGTAATATTAACGACTGCTGCTGCTGCTGCTCCTGCTGCTGCTGCTGCTACTACTGCTGCTGCTGCTCCTGCTGTAGCTGCTGTTGTTGTTGCTGCTGCTGCTATTACTACTGCTGCTGCTGCTCCTCCTCCTCCTTCTTCTCCTTCTCGTCTCCTTCACTGCTCCTCCTCCGCTGTGGCTGGCGCTGCTCCTCCTCCTCCTTCTCTTCCCCGTTGCTGATCCTCCTCTTCCTCCTCCTCCTTCTCCTTCTCTCCTGCTCCTTCTCCCGTTGCTACTGCTCCTCCTCTTCCTCCTCCTGCTGCTGCTATGCTGCTGGCTGCTGGCTGGCTGCTGCTGCTGCTGCTGCTGTACTACTACTACTACTGCTGCTGCTGCTCCTCCTCCTCCTTCTCCTCCTTCTCCTCCTCCTGCTCCTCCTCCCGTGCTGCTGGCTGCGCTCCTCCTCGCTCCTTCTCTTCACCCGTTGCTGATCTCGCCTCTTCCTCCTCTTCTTCTCCTTTCTCCCCCTGCTCCTTCTCCCGTTGCTACTGCTCGCTCCTCTTCTCTCCTGCTGCCGCGCTGCTACTACTACCTACTACTTGCTGCTGCTGGCTGCTGCTGCTGCTCCTCCATCCTCCTCCTCCCTCCTCCTCCTTCTCCTCCTATCTCTCCTCCTCCTGCTCCTCCTCGCCGTTGTCTTCTGCTCCTCCATCCATGCTGACTGCGCGCTGGCTGCGGCTGCTGCTGCTATACGGCTGCTGCTAACTGCCTCCTCTCTTCTCCTCCTCTCCTCTTCCCGTTGCTGCTGCTCCTGCTGGTTTGCTCGCTGCTGCTCCTCCTCTTCCTCCTCCTCCTCCTCCTCCTGCCTCTTCCTCCTCCTCCTATTTGCTTTTCTTCTTTGCTTCTCACTCCTCTCTCTGCTCCTCTCATCCTGCTGCTGCTGTTGCTGCTACTGCTGCTACGTGCTGCTACTGCTGGCTACTGCTGCTAACTGCTGCTACTGCCTGCTGCTGCTGCTATTGCTTGCTGGCTGCTCCTCCTCCTCTTCCGTCCTCCTCTCCCTCCTCCTCCTCCTCCTCCTCCGCCTCTTCCTCCTCCTCGTCTGTTGCTCTCCTCCTCCCCCTTCTCTCGTTCTTCTCTCCTCCTCTCCTGCTCTCCTCCCGTTGCTGCTGGCTTCTCCTGTCTCCTCCTCCCGTTGCTGCTGCTCCCAAATTCCTCCTTCTACCTGCTCCTCCTTCCGTTGCTCCTCCTCCTGGCCTCGTACTCTCTCGCTCCTCCTCCTCCTTTCCTCCTCCTCTCCTCCTCTGCTGGCTGCTACTACTGCTGCACTGCCCTCGTCTCCTCCTTCTTCTTCTCCTTCTCCTCTCTTTCTCCTCCCTCCTCCTCCTCTATCTCCCGTTTCTGGCTGCTCCCTCCTTCTACCTGCTGCTGTTGCGGATACTGCTCACACTGCCTGCTTATGGCTTGCTACTGCCGCTGCTGCTGCTGGCTGCTTGCTGCTGCTGCTGCTAACTGCTGGGCTTGCTACTGGCGCAGACTGCTCCACCTCCTCGCTGCTGCTGCTGCTGCTATCTACTGCTCCTCCTCCTCCTCCTCCTTCCTCCCTCCTGCCTCCTTCCTCCTCCTCTCTCCTCCCTCTCTCACCCCTCCTCCGTCCTCCTCCTCCTCCTCCCTCTCCTCCTCCCTTGCTTCTTCTTCTTCTTCTTCCTTGTCTTCTTCTTACTGCCTCCTCCTCCTAGCTGCTGCTGGCGCTGCTGGCTACTAACTACTAACTATACTACTCTACTCACTACTACTACTACTACTACTATATAACTACTACTACTACTACTACTATCTACTACTACTATACTACTGTCTGCTGCCTTGCTGCTGCTGCTGCTGCTGCTGCTGCTGCTGCTGCTGCTGCTGCTGCTGGCTGCTGCTGCTGCTGCTGCTGGCTGCTGCTGGCTGCTCTTGTGCTGCGTGCTGCCTGCTGGCTGCTGCTGGCTGCTGCTGCTGCTGTGCTGCTGCCTGCTGCTGCTGCTGCATGCTGCGTGCCTGCTCTCTGCTGCTGCTGCTGCTGCTGCTGCTGCTGCTGCTGCTGCGCTGTGCTGTGCTGCGCTGCTGCTGCTGCTGCTGCTGCTGCGCTGCTGGCTGCTGCTGCTGCTGGCTGCTGCTGCTGCTGCTGCTTGCTGCTGCTGCTGCATGTGCTGCGCTGCTGGCTGGGCTCGCTGCTGTGCTGCCTGCTGGCTGCTGCTGGCTTGCTGCTGCTGGCTGCTGCTGCTGGCTGCTGCGCTTCTGCTGCTGCTGCTGCTGTGTGCTGCTGCTGCTGCGCTGCTTGCTGCTGCTGCGTGCGCTGCTGCTGCTTGCTGATGCTGCTGCTCTTGCTGACTTGCTGCTGCTGCTGCTTGCGCTTCGCCTGCTGCTGCTGCTGCTGCTGCTGCTTGGCTGCTGCTGCGCTGCTGGCCTGCTGCTGTGCCTGGCTGCTGTTGCTGCTGCTGCTGTGCTGCTGCTGCTGCTGCCCTTCCTCTGCTGGCTGCTGCTGCTGCACCTGCCTCCTCTTCCTCCGTCCTCGTTCTCCTCCGCGGGTTTTTTGCCCGCCCTTTGCTGCCCGCTCCGCCCTCTCTTCTCCTCCTCTCTTCCTCCGCTTTTTTTTGCCTGCTGGCTGCTGCCTCTTCCCCCTCTGCTGCCTGCTGCCTGCTGCGTTGCTGCTGCTGCTGCGCTGCTGCTACTCGTCATGCCCGCTCCTTCTCCTTCTCCTTCGCCTCCTCCTCCTCCTCCTCCTCTTCTTCCTTCTCCCTCTCCTCTTCCTCCTCCTCCTCCTCATCCTGCTGCTGTTGCTGCTACTGCTGCTACTGCTGCTACTGCTGCTACTGCTGCTACTGCTGCTGCTGCTGCTGCTGTTCCTCCTCCTTCTTCTCCTTCTCCTCCTTCTCCTCCTCCTCCCGTTGCTGCTGCTGCTCCTCCTTCTTCTTTTCTTCTTCTTCTTCTTCTTCTTCTTCTACTTCTTCTTCTTCTTCTCCTCTTCCTCATCCTGCTGCTGCTGCTACTGCTGCTGCTGCTGCTGCTGCTGCTGCTGCGACTGTTGCTACTCGTCACACCCCGCGGGAATTTAAGAAAAATGTTTCCCCTTTCACTGCGCACAACGGTCCTGTTCATTATTTAACCTGGACAATATTATGTAAACTTTTTCCGTTTTGTTTCATGCATTCAATAAGCCTGAGTCTCGCAGCAGCTGGCCCACCGCGTTCCATCCACCCTGAATTTATCATGTTTATCCCCAATATTCCCCAATCCGTGCATCTTCTGATGTGTGAAGGCAACCCGGATGACATAACCGCCAGGTCTAAGCGATTTATGCAATGCTTTATTATCATACCAGAAGTGGATAATACAGTTCCTTGTTATCATACCAGAAGTTTACTATACAGGATTTATCACATTAATTAAGAGAAGTGAACCAAATCAATTGTGTTTTTCTTCACTCCTGTTATTTACTCCTCACTTTTGATAAACGGCTACAAACCTGAATGCATTTAACTCGGTGTATGTACGTATGTATCCGGGTAGCGTATTGCCGTGTGAACGAGGTTCGTCTTATCCGGCAGGGCGCGAATGCGACCCGCCCACGGGACCGGAGAACGGCAATCCCAACTGCGTCAAGTGGATGTACGGCATGTTCTGCAAGCCGACGTGTAACGAGAGCTACACGGGCTACCAGCTAGCGGGCCACAAGGTGTACATGTGCGGCGGAGACGCGACGTGGTACCCATCCCGCCACATGCCAGACTGCACACGTGAGCATGTTCGCTTTACGCTTCATGTTTCTTAAGTGAAGCCGAGAGAGAGAGAGAGAGAGAGAGAGAAAGAGACCGGGAGGAAGACTTGCACAGAGAGGTGGGAAAGGGAAAGAGTGAAAAAAATTGGAGAGTGAAGAGGAGAGGAGGCAGAGAATGCATTAAAATAAATAAATAATTTATGGCGCTTTGCTCACGTATTTTTCTCTTCTTAGCGTATACGCGATACATCAGAAATGTGTCCTGCACACCTGGTTACGAACCTCGTCTGAGCGACTACAAATGCGGTAGGTATACGCGCATGCGCATGCGCCCAACTGTATTCCTACAGTCACATTGTAAATACAAACGGTTAGCGTCCTAAAAACTGCAAAAATTAAATTTGCATAAATTCACGGCATGCGAACGTGCAATAATGCTATGTCTAATTTTTCAGAGTAAACTGCATGGTGAATACATATTTATTGGCCGCATACACTACAGTTCAATTTCAATTATGATTATACTCGGTAATTAAATTACGCATGTTGTTGGACAGAGTAGGCTTTAGGTTTAGAGAGGGCGTATGGATGGATGTAGCAACCGCGGAAGCTGCAATCTGCCAAAACATGCAATGGAAAAACATAGGAAGTATTAAGAGCGCATAAACTGTAAAAAAATGGTTTATGCGTTCCTGAAAATATGTTACAGTAATTTCAGCATGAAAGATCAACAGGAACCCCAGTCTGAACATTTTTCTTGTGTACATACTAGACATAATTTCTCATTTTTGGTGAACATTATTTAGTCAGTGTCTATGGACCGGGCCACCGTGAAAACAGCTGAGACTTCTATTACCTTAATTTGTCCTAATTTCTTATCGAACTCTTTCCAGCCAAACGTGCTCTTCTACTACATACATTGTTGCTGTTCTCATTGTCTTATTATAATTTCGTAACTAACCGAATCGTAGGTAGGCCGATAGGAATAAAAACGTATATGGATATTTGGTATCACCGAATCTAATGGTATTACAACCCTCCTTTAATTAATGAACCGCATTAAATTCGTCGTCGTAATAGACTTGTGGGATTTCTGAAAAATGTGAATGTTAGGGGCATTTTGGAGTAAAAGTTGGGAACCAGACTTTTTAACATAATTCGAGTATGCTGAATCAGATAAACCCAGTTCCCAAGCGAAATTTTGAGTTTTTGGTCATCTAATTTGTATAACTCGTGTGTCTCTCCGTTTCTCTGTTTGTCGCAACGCAGTCGCATGTCCGCGTGGCAAGTACCTCCCGGAGAACGCCACCACGTGCGTTCCCTGCGAGATCGGCACCTATCAGGACGAGTTCGGACAGACGTCGTGCAAGCGCTGCCCCGCCGGCCGCGGCTCAAAGGCAGACGCCAGAAACGCGGAGGAGTGCGGCGAGGCGCGCATGCGCAGAAACTCCAATAAGAACCGGCGGCGGAGAAGAAAGAAGCGTCGGCATTCGAGCGCGCGATCATAATGCACAGTTCGTTGTATCAGATGAGCATATCCGAGAGAGGGAGAACGAGAGAACGACAACTACATAATATACGGGGGGAGAACGCGGGGAAAGGGAAGTGCATCGAGATAGATTAGAAGATAGATATAATCATTAACCCACGTACGTTGAGTTGATGATTTAGAATGACAAATGCAGGTAAAGTGATAGGGAGAATGAGAGTGGAAGCGGAGATGGGTAAAAAACGCTTTCCCGGCCATAGACAGCAGATGCATCTTGTAGCAGGTAGTTTAGGTAGACTAGAACCGCTTCTACTTGGCACTATCAAAAGGAAAGGTGCAATATATTCCCCCCAAAATACAAACGTTATATATCAATGTATCTATAACTACTATATCATTCGTCATTAGCGGGGAGTATCAGTGAGCCAGGAAAGTAGGTATGACAGTTCTAGCCGAGTGTAGGCTTATGTGTGTATATGTAACGTGTGGACCAAACTTACATTCGCGCGATCGAGTCTATAGCTGCGATGCGAAGACCAGATTTTAAGGACAGAATCGTAGATAATGGTTACTAGGATACCTTATATACATGCACCTGATAAAGCTTTTATAGCTTATTCACGTATACTGATGTTAAGGATATGCACAAATAATATAGTTCCCGGTTTTTTCACTAAATGTGTTGCTAGAAATTAAGCACAGTTATGCATTAGGCACAAGTGATTACGTAAAAGTTACATGCCACATATATTATTCAGCAATGATGTTATAGCAAGCCAACATAATATATAACATTGACTCTGACTTTATCTGTGATGTAGTTAAACTATTGCGATTATCATCTAGTAATTTGTGTTTTCAATGAAATTTTCACGTGTACAAACATAGGCGTGATGATACCTAAGATAGGTACAAATATGTAGAGCTAGTTAAGCATATAAACGGCACAATATAGTTTACGCTGAAATCTCGTGTGTCTCGTTACTTGTTGTAACTAAGATACAAGTCTGTTGTATCTAAATATATCCATCTATGTACGTCTGTTTAACTCTAATGATAGCATTTCTGCAGTGTGCACATTAAACAGTACTACACGAATAAGACGCGTCAAAGCGGTGCTTCCAGATCTGTAGGTTTTGCCATGCAATAATAAAATAGACAGGTTTATTTGGCCCTTGCATATCCTGCTGGGAAGAGAACCAACAACAATACAAAGTATGGTTAGCAATACCTTTGCGTCACAGTAAAATCGCATAGCTGCGCAGTACAGATAAATCAACGATGTGTAAAATAGTCAATAGATCAACAAATAAATCAACTAATCAACGAGTCAATCAATATCTCGGTTAATTAGTTTAGCAGATCGATAATTAATTTTAAAAACGTTAATCAATAACTAAACGGGTAAAGTTTACGTTGAGTTTCATTCTCGGACAGACTTTTTACTGGATATTGGCTATTATCTGTAATCGTGTGCTTTATATAGTTGAAGGTCCGTTTTGGCTGTTGGCTTTAATTAGAAATTATTCGGCTTTTATTCGATATTACAAAAAAAAGAAATATGTGAGAGGAGTGTCTTTTTACAAAACAGTTTTTTGACGTAGTAAGTTACTTTTAGCGTAGTAAGTTAGGCGTATAAGTTAGGAGTATAAATTAGGCGTATAATAGGCGTATAAACTCGTAATTCTTCTAGTGTTGGACAAACCGTCGATACCGAAATAATTTTATACTGCTGATCAGTTAATGTAATGGTTTCAGGTAACTACAAATCTACACCTAATGCCGCATGACATAATTTCGTGAAATCACTACTGACCAGCTCCTTCGCGTATCTGTGCCTTCGTATACTTACACAAACACAAACACACACACACACACACACACACACACACACACACACACACACACACACACATGCACGCACACACAGCACAGACCCGTAATATATATCGTCAGAACCAAAGAACCAGGGAAATGTCTACTCTAGCAAACTGATATTTCATAATTGAGTGAACCATGCCTGTTTTTTTGCTGCACGATGTCATATCCGTTACATTCTGCCTGAATCAGTATTCATTTATTGGCTGCTGGTTGGTATCATAGATGGCAGTCACCAGGGTATATCTTTGAGAATTAAAACAAGCCAGTTCTTGTACAAAGCCAGTACATATTATATAAGAATGGACGAGTATGCTTCCTGTCACTTGTACAAATAAAGAACAACGTCAACCTTAATTCTGCTTGTCTATTTCTTGAAACCATCTGCACACTCCCGACTAGCAAGTTATTGTTATATGACTCACAATGCTCAAACTAAGTCTCCACTACAGACATCAATACGCCCGGTCGTCGACCAATGTCATACCAATTCCTACTAGTAGTTCACTCAATACAGTATAAGGTGAATGCCTGTACTGCCTGGGTGTACAACGTGGTTGCATCGTTGCCTATGTCAATTTAAATTACTGGATTACTGTTTTCGACGTGTCTAGGATATTGTACAACAAATATTCTCATTTTTGCTATTAAAATAATTTCCTTATTTAAAATAAGGTCTGGGTTATTTGTCAGTCAAACATACGGGAAAGTTCTGATTTCGCTAGGATGAGTTTACTAAAACCGGACTGATAGCGGTTTATGTAGTGAACGGTAATGCCGTGATTCAGTAGGTAACTCTTCTATGCATTATACCAAAATTTATTTAAATACCTGAAGCTATTTTATGACTGCATTAAACAGTTCAGCTAAGAATCATGGTACTGGATTTGTGGTCTGCTAAAGTCAAGCTTGTCTAAAGTGTTGCCTTATCATCTTTAAAGGCAATATTTTCTTCTTTTCAGTTAAACCTAAAGGTCTGAAACGATTCCACCATCTAAATAGGTCACTGATACATTTTTATAATTCTCGTGTAACATGTAAAGACGTTCATAACTACACTAATATTTAGACATTTTGTAGTCAAATATAGTCATTGTACTTCGAAGTATAATTATGTGAATATATTAAATAATAACCAAAAAATTTGTCTTTACTGCAAACATGTTTTTTGTCCCGTGGCGTCATTTATTGAGCTCAGCTGATGTAATTACAATTTTTTTTCATTTAAACATTTATTTATCTTGATATACTGGACATCACTATCACAGTAAAGCATTTGAATAGTCATTGTTCGGAACAAAGTTCAGGTGCTTTAACATTAATAAAGCGCAACATTGTGATAAGCATTTTTCATATCACAATAGTGAATTGGATAGCCTCTCTAATTTAAATGTATAATTTCAAAAAAATAATAGTACTTCCATACGATACTGAGCAGAAGTAAACGCGGCTCTTCCCTGTGCTGCGGTATGCAGAAATTCCGAAAAAACCTGGGTAACATCTGCTGACTGCTGTTAGTATTTACTGCGACATATCCATTAATAACTTGAAACCACCAAATTGGTAAAATGTTCTCTGTATTTTAAGAAATTGTGCGAAATTATGTGGGTACCATCACCACTTGATGTGAAACGCGCGAACGCTGCGTACTGTATGACGTCACTAATCTGCGCGTCAACAAACCCGGGCCGTTGTAACGTGGTATAAATATAGACTCTATTATACATAGTATATAACCCGTATTAGACCCTAACTGTATAATATAACCGTATATACCCTAACCGTAAGACCAACGACCCGTGGGATTATAGACCCGAACCGTAGGGCCAACGACCCGTATGATCAACGACCCGTAGGACCAACGACCCGTAGGATCAACGACCCGTAGGACCAATGACCCGTATGATCAACGACCCATAGGACCAACGACCCGTAGGATCAACGACCCGTGGGACCAAAGACCCGTAGGACCAACGACCCGTATGATCAACGACCCGTAGGACCAACGACCCGTAGGATCAACGACCCGTAGGACCAATGACCCGTATGATCAACGACCCGTAGGACCAACGACCCGTAGGATCAACGACCCGTAGGACCAATGACCCGTAGGACTAACGACCCATAGGACCAACAACCCGTAGGACCAACGGCCAGTAGGATCAACGACCCGTGGGACCAAAGACCCGTAGGACCAACGACCCGTATGATCAACGACCCGTAGGACCAACGACCCGTATGATCAACGACCCGTAGGACCAACGACCCGTAGGATCAACGACCCGTAGGACCAATGAC